GGATAGACAGCAGACATCGATATTAAGACTTTCCAAAGACATGGCGAGCTCTATCTGTTGTCCAACCTACATAAGTGTGCGAACGTTGAAGGCAGCCAGCTTGAATGGTGCAAGTGGTTTCAGAAAAACTGCTTCACTATTCGTATTTAGTGGTATCATACGATTTTCAATCAGGCAGTGACTCGAGAACGTTTAGATAGAACCGAGTTTCCACCATAGGCGAGCTGCTGTATAAGTCGAAAAATAAGGATACACAGAGTGGGAATAAAAGAGAGTGGATAAGTGACGTGGTAAATAATAATAATAATAATAATAATAATAATAATAATAATAATAATAATAATAATAATAATGTGAATCATTTGATTGTTAATCGCAGCAAGAATAGTATTTTCCATAAATATAGATAGTTCATCATAATTGTGCGTGGGCTGTGATACTGCCTGGGTGCCCAGACTGAAGCAGGTGGTTTTCTTAGGGAGCCACACCCCGAGCCTTCGACCTGAAGACCTAATCCACAAGGCAGTGGAGCATCGTGAGGAGATGCAGTCCCATGGTAGCCGGTGACCAACGATTGGTTCATACGCCATTTGTTCCCTCAGGATACTGGAGCCCATGTGCACCATTGGTTTTGGATCCGGTTAAAGCGCCGGACATTCGCTTTTCGTCCTCTCGTTTTCGTAAACAACACCCGTGATGCGAGAAGGCAGTGAGTAGGACTTCCCTGGAAGAGGCTGTATACGCGTGGCCGTGTGAGAGTATTTCGAGAGAGACAGCGGGCCCATCCCACTCTCGGCCATATCAGGGCATTTGGGGGTAGGGTTCGTCTAAGTCTTTGGAAAATCTTATTATTGACGTTTGCTGTGTGTATGAGATCCGTATCCAAGACTAGTGAAGCACTGAAAATTCACTCTCGTTTCAAGTCGAATAGCTTGTCTCAAGTCCCCCTTACTCAAGAACTCTGTGTCATCCTTGTTTTCCATCTCCGAAAAGCCCTCGAAATATTCCAGTGAAACAACAACAAATTCTTTCCCCAAGGTCACTTGTCTGAAGTAAAATCAGTAGATGATGCTAATCAATGGTGGTTATTATCTTGGTCCATCGACATTAAACATCACATAAAATCGAAAATTGTACAATCAAAGGTTCCATCTGGTGGTCACCAAACAGCCTTAAGCTTTTCAAATCAGTGAATGTAGAGTGAATTTGCAGTGCTTCACTAGTCTTGAATACGGATCTCACACATACAGTAGATGTCAATAATGAGATTTTCCAAAGACACAGATGAACCTATCTGTTATTCAATTTGCGTTCAAACTTTATACTAATCAGTAACTTGGATTTGTCTAGACACTATAGAATTCCCACTACTGATAAGTTGCTTTATAAGCAATAAAATACAAGTAAATACAGGGTGGGATCGAATAAAGGATAGAAAAATTGAGTAAGGTAAACTAGAAACACTTGAACTAAGTGGGTAATACTTTTCTTTTGAGTTAGAAGTCAATCGCAGCTAGCGAATAAATTTTTTTACAATTCTTCATTGCTATATTTATAATAAGGCTGGGATACTGCCTAGGCTCCCAGATCAAAGCAAAGACTCACTTCTCGAACCAAAAGGCACTAGGAAAACGTCAGGCGAAAAATCCCATGGTAGCCGTGACCGAGGATGGGTTTATATGACATTCGTTCCCTCAGGATTTTGGAGCGCATATACACCATTAGTTTGAAGTCGGGGTTTTTCAACTCCCTTTTGTGGATTTTCCATATCCACTAACCAGGTTATAGCTCAGGAAATTTGCTTTTCCTACTGTGTCCGTAATTAACACCACCTCGAGAATATAGTAGTTACAAGAAGACGTTTATACATATAAAAATAAAAGGTCAACTAGACTGGAAATGTTGATAATATTGGCTTATTATCCAGAGTAATTACGTAATTACTCTTATAACTATCCTTGTGTTCTCTTACCCCCATTTTCACTCTAGTTGACCTTTTATTTTTATATATAAATGTTCTTAAGAAGCATATGTGTGGTCAGATTGTTCGGAATGTATGGCGCTAATATATCACATAATTCTAATAATCTTATTATTATTACATTATCGAAATTTATCAAAGAAATTAATTGCTTTAAATTCAGTGGTTGCAAACTCACTCAAATAGCTTCTACCGATGTGTATTGAGGATATACAATTTTAATGTAATAATACTGTATGTCGGTATGGGGGGGGCCGTTAGACCCGATGTAGATAGTATATATATTCAAATTAAAACGAAGGTGAAAACAATGCGTAATGAAGCAGTTATGTGTGTTGATGACACATTTGTTGCTTGCAGTAGTCGCAAATATCCTGTCAGTATGCTGAATCTTTTTAATATAATGCACACTCGAATATACATTTTACAATGGAGCATGAGGGTAGTGATAAGTTTCATTTTTAGACCTTAGTATTCAACAATGGAAATGGTAGTTACGTCGAAAGGATATCTAAAGGGGACTTTATTTAAATTCAAATAGCTTCTTTCCGGTAATTGACAAACCAGCTTAGGTTAGAATTTTATTTAATCAAGTACGAAAATTGTGTTCTGAGGAAAAGATTGGAAAGAAATCTACTTTTTTTTAATGAAGTCTTAAGAATAATGATAATCCACAAATATTTTTTAGTACAAATACGAAGATAAGAACAAAAGTAATAGTGTGCTACAGTGGAGAAAATAACTTTCTTCATAAAACTTGGCTTCAAAACGGACGAAATATCTAGCAAGATTGGTTCTGGAGTAACAGCTGCATCAAAAAAACTTCAGTCAGTAGCAACGCAGAACTTCGCACGTAGGTACATCAGTTCATGTTACCATACCACATTAGCACAGAGATGCATTTGTCGATTCAAATCCCATAGTGGTAGAGGTAGTAAAAGTATAAGCAGTAATCGGAAAGATTAGGGCTTGAGGATGTTATTCAAGAAGTATAATACAGTGAAATAAATTTGGAAAGAGAAAAAGAAGGGACATGAAGGTCTCAGAAGATTAGAACTTGAGAGAACATAAAGAGTGGATGAATCTGCTCCATTGCAGACAATTTTGAGCCATGTCATTCAGGGTCTCTAACCATCATCTCGCGGATCCCAACCACGTAGTCTACACCTATCAACATAGCTCAATCCACTTGTCAGTGAATTCATGGATTTGTGCCATGTTGTGGTCTGGCCGCCCCTAACATTCTTCCAACCTACTCCTACACTATCGAACATCTTTTTGGGTGGAGTTTTGTTCTCTGAGCTGGATGGTTTGTTCGTAGAGCTTTCATCGTTCTTCTGAACGACGTCATCAGCACAAACATCAGATAGAACATCGCACGTCGAGGCAGTCGGTGATTGGGCATACGTAACACGTGCCCCAGCCATCTCAACTGATGAAGTTTCGCTACTTCATCAATTGATTTTCCGTCCTTACCTAGTACCCGTTTCCTAACAACTGAGTTATTTACTCGATGATCCCAGAATATACGAGCAATGTTTCAAAGACATCTATGATCGAATACTAGTAACCTACGAATATCCTCTACTCTTACCGGCCATGTTTCACTGCCATAAAGTAGGACGAGACGAACTGTTACACAGTAAACACGACATTTGATCGGTTGACGGATAAATAAGGCAAGTAGTTATGTATACTGGTTTACATGTACGTGTCAAAGCACATACATTGGAAGAACGAAAAGCAGTGTTGATGTCCTCATTTCTTAGTTCATTATTCAGAAGTTTAGAATAGGAGGTTAGTATGTCTTTAACGGTTCAATCACCCGTCAATTACTTGATAGTGAATATGACGTTGAGGTTTCAAAATCGTTCACAATTTTCGGTAAACAAGGAACTTTGAATATACTACGTTTTGTCTTAACCATTGCTATCGAAGGGTTTAAACCATAATTGTGGATTCAAAAACATACTGTTGTCAACTTTATTTTGTTCTGGTGACCCATTTTCAATGTCTAGTTTCGGAAGGACTTTTTTTAACAATTATAGTTTGATTTTTTCGAACTTCATTAATTTTTATCTGAGTTTTATTAACCAAAATATTATAATCAATCCTTTGTGTTGTGATTTTTAAAGATTAACATTTGTGTTTAGGTTGTAAGTAACTAATGAGAAACAATGAAATAAAATGGATTAATACAATTCTGCTATGTTTGTTCCCTTTGCTGTATTCAGATTTGTCAATCGGAAAAGTGTTATTCATTATGTAACATTTCATGGTAGTCATATCACGTCCAGCTAGATTGTCGCTCAGGTTCATTTCATTTTTAGTGAGAGTTTTTCTCCTTATCAACCGTCCTTTTAAGAAGTTTCTAGCTGAGCAAAGCTCTGTGACATTACATTTCTGTCATTTGTGTTGAGAATTCTGTCGTTTATAACATAATGGCAATAAATAAATACTACAGACTCAGCGTTAATTACCCAAAAATGATTGTCTCTGACTAATAAATTACTGATTTGTATCAGTTATAAGAAGATGCATAAAAACGAACTCATTATTCAGAAAAAATTTTTAAGACGTGATTGCAGTCAAGGTAAGAGTAATGTATCGTTTAGTATAACAAAATATTTATCGTTCTGTTAATCACTGTCACTACATGCTAAATTATTATATCAATAATCTACTGACCATTAAGACATCAGTTATCACTTGTATCTCTTTCTGATTAAAATCGAGGCAAGACAGTTCGATTAGGTTACAAACAGTTGCTTAATTCTCATTCAAATGATCAATAAATGAATGTTTCAGTTATTTTACGAAGATAGAGACCAAGCACGTGTTTTATAGTATTTCGTTGGAACTCGTTGGATCTATATCGTAAAAAAGATGGTTTAAACTCATCTTTTGACCTAAATTTCATCATCATATTGATAATATCAGTGTTAATTTCTCTTCAGTATTTAATTTTATTTCTATTTTGGAAATTCTGTACTTTTCTCATGTATTTGCATTTGTGAAGGTCCTTGAAGAATTAACCATTGTTTTGAACCGAGCAACAAATGATACAAGTCGTTTAATCATGATTTCTGGGACAGGAACTGTGTTTAGCTCCGGAATAGACTTGACAACAATTACGGGCGATCTTTTAAGAAGTGCATTTATTGGTCCATCTTCATGTGATTCATCTCGCAGTTCATCCTCAAGTTCAGCCAATGTATTCGCTTCACGTAATTCAAATCATCATAAAATTGGAGCTGATAATTCAAAATCACATCATTCTGATAATACAAATTGTTCATTTTCTCAAACTAACTATGACTCAAATTTAAATTCATCATCTCACAGAAATGCAAATAGAGTTCATTCATTTTTCTGCTCACCAAATGCTTCAAATGTCGGACGTCTAGCGGCAGCTTTAAGGTCATTTTTATTGGCATTAGTTTCATTTCCTAAACCTGTTGTAGTTGGTGTAAATGGTCCAGCATTAGGACTGGCTGTTGCTATATTACCTTTGTGTGACATTGTTTACATAAGTGACTCAGCTACATTTTATATGCCATACACTCGACTTGGTCAAATCCCTGAAGGAGCATCAACTTACACTTTAAACAGTCTTGTTGGTATGCCTTTGGTAAGTTGTATGAAATATTTATCTTTCATATGTATCAAATTTTGATTTTATTATTCGTTACCTTAATATAAGATATATGAAATAACTTATTGGAATGCAATGAAAAAAAACTGACAAAATAATCGCGAATTTACAGTATGTTGTTACTATTTGCATCAGACAGCGACAAAATCATTGTCTATCAGAACTGAGAGTCTGTAAGAAATGTTCTGTTTTAGTTAGTGATAAAAGAACGAACTGTTAATGCAATTCGCCAAGTCCATATATATATTCATTGATCTTCATATGAACTGTTATATGACGAATTTTTGAACTAAAATGAATCTCAGTGTTTGATATTCGTTTGTTCAGAACAAAATAAATTTTATAAACTAACTCATTGTACCAATGTTTGAGTCTTGTTTCTGTTGTTATGGTTGTTGACCGACTCCCTAAGATGAAGTAAGCGAAGCAGGTCTTAATCTATAACTCACTTATTAGAAGTTAAATGTTTTAATCATCAATCCATAATATAATTAAAATTCAGACAGTCTACGAAATAATAACATTTTCAACATTTATTTTGCTTTAATTCCGTGGTAATTGATTTTATTTTTTCCGGTTCGATTTCCGAAGTTGTTTTTATTAAAAAACATTCGTTTATTCATATCGAATATTTCTCTTCATAAAAATTATTGTACAGGCAAACGAACTATTATTAGCAGGTCGTAAATTGTCCGCACGTGAAGCTTTACAACGAGGTTTAGCTTCTGATCTTTTGTTCCCCAAAAGTTTTAAACAAGAACTACTTCTCCGTTGTCGAAAATTAGCAGAAAATTCGTGTATGGTAGGTATCTTTGTACTTGTTATTATTTTTTCATTTATCTATTCCTTGATTTCTAGGTGTTTAAATATTTACTACCTTAAAAATGATGTTATGAATTTATTTTCCCATTTTTTTACATATCACTTCAGCAACCTGATATAGTCTTTATTTGAATGTTTATCGTTTGTTCTCATATTTCATCTCATGAGATTTCGTAAACACGTTATTGTGTTTTCCGATGGTAAATAGATATATAGCAGAGACTTACTGGTTTCTCGTATATATAATAAGAGAAAATTCTTAGAAGACGATTGCTGACTAAAATATCAAGCTATAAACGCACAGTACTTCTTAACTATGAAGTTTAATGGTTCTCGTTTAAATGTCTTTTTTACGAAAACATTACTCTCAATCTAACGTCTCGATAGTTCTTTTGATTGGACCATGGTTAGTGGCGTGTTACATCTCATACTGCTTTAATATGTTTTTAACTTTCGTTCAAAAAGCAACAATGGAAAATCTGGAAAGCAAATGAGTATGTGTAGAATGTTGTGGAATTATCAAGCAATGTAGAGTTTTCACTTTTAATACTATCCGTTCGTAATTAGTTAGTTAATATTAACCAAATCTATTCATTACGAAATATGGATTACAGACTTTCAGTCTTTTTTATTTTAATAGTTGAATTTATGAGTCGATCTAAGCTAGACCGCCATTGAAAACCTAAAAGCACTGAACGGCCATTTTATCCTAGTATCGGATTCCACAGGAGTGCGCATCCACGATTCCGCGTGCGGGATCTAAGACTACTAAACTTAGATCGATTCATAAATTCAGCTATTAAAATTACTACGATCACCACAAATCCCCATTCTGATTTTGCTTTTAATCTGTAAGTATTATCGTAATGACTTACAATGTTGCCAGTAATGTATCTTATTTAACTCCTAATTTTCAGCCATTACGACATGCTAATCGTTATGTTCGTTCTAGGCTGTTTGTTTTCTCAGTTTTAGATTTGTTGTCTCTAAAGTCTTGAAAGTAGTAATCCTCCAGAAAATCTTGAATTTCGGGACAGATGTCAATTTCACGACCCTTACGTCTACTCCAAAATAAAAAATATGAATAACCCCTTTGGGAAACAAGCAAACTAATTGTTATATTCGCAAAAAACTTTCATATCCGTCTTATTTCAACGTACCTCACAGTTCTCTTACATTCACTTCTGATTCCTGTCTTATTTAGACACGTATTTCTATTTGTTGTTCTGACCTGTTTAAATAGCCTTGGTATACCAAATAATTATTTGAAGAAAGCCGTCACTCAATACAACGTAATCTATGTATTATAAGATCACTCTTGACATTCAAACCTCCTGCCTTTGATACAAATTACACAACAATAAGGTTTAGTTAAGATTGTCTGTTCTTGACATACAGATACGCACGTTTAAAATAGGCTTCCATTCGGAGTTAGATGGTGGTTAGAGGTAGTCGACAGGAAACCCGGGTTTCGTGCTACTTGGCACTCGTTAGCAAGGTGTACCTGTAATCTTGAGGGAACTGGTGCTCCCTGGCGGATTCGATCTCGTGTCACCCAGCTTCACAGTCAGAGACGTTACCACTGAGCTATCCGAGCCGTGACTAACCTCCTGTAGGACTGAGATGTAATCACAATTGATTGATCACTGGGTAGTGATCAATGTCATGTGTGTCAAGTCCTTATTAGTGTAGATCGAATGCTATCGACCATGTTGCAATGCAGATCGCAATCTATTTTTGACTAGCATTAACTTACAGGTCAGTTATCACTGGTGTGTTTTATGAAGTCCACTTGGAATTCAAATCTGTGCTTGTGTACTTCATATTACAGTCAATCACCGATATCTAGTATTTGTTCAGGTTCTTCAAATAAAGTATACACATAAGTTGTGATTGCACTTTGATATGTGCGCATGTTTTCTTACTTTTTAATGGTCGATATTCATTATCTTAACAGAAATAGCGTGAATAAATTATCTGCATCTACTGTTGCAACCAATTATCAGGCTATGTTAAGTTTAATTAGAGGTACCAGTCTACCAAAAGATCTAGACATCCATAGGCTGTTAGTACGTGACCCTATAAAAGTGCTGAATTTATCTCCTTGCGATTTCATGATCTAAACATTGATTGATTTTGAAAACATGCAAGTGAAGCAGCATTCATAAGCCGATTTTCAGTAACAGCATATCACCTCGAAACACGTTAGCGGCTTCTATACCCCTAACGCCTGTTGTTCATGTTTAGGCGTGATAAAACATATCTAGAAAAAGCAGTTTATAACATGGCTTGGCAAAACAAAGGGTAGTTTTTTTTCTTTTAATAAATAGTAATATATATATTAAGGTAATTAAGTTTGATTGTATTTTTGTTTGATCTTTGTCTTACAATTTTTCCGATTTGTATATTTGAACGGTGAAAGGACAATGCTCGTAGCTACCATCTTTTAGTGTTTTAATTCTAATATTTATTGTGTTTTTTTCTCTCATTTTCTGAAGAGACTATCAAATGTTTTGTGTCGGTTCACTTGTGGTTTTTTGCGCTGTGAACGAAAAATGGATGAATTCATGATCTAGTAATTTCTAGAAGTTTAGTGATAATTAGTTGAAATCATCGTACTACAATTTCACATGATTGTGTATCCTATCAGTGAAACATTTTTTGTGAAATTTCCCAAACAAGGTTTTATGAGATATAATTTGGATTGTTAAAAGAACTTCATGAAACACTAGGATAATGTAGTGGACTAATTATTGCTCACGAAATTAGATTTCCGTTTTCGAAGCTCTCCGGTAAAATTATTTCAATAAACAACAGAAGAAGCTACAGTAAAAAAGAATAAATTTATGTGAGAAATATGAGACGGAAAGTAAATATGATCAGACATCATATGAAATTTAAACAATTGGAGGAAATGAGCTTTATTGATGACTCATTCACCATTGAGGTTAAACATCTAGTTTTGTTTTGCTAAGAACTGTTAAAAATGTTTTGTGTTCACCTTAATCTTATTATAAACTTAATTTAATAGTGATTTCTTTATGTAAAAATTGAAGTGGTCGATTTTCTCTCCTTATCAAATTTTAGTCATTGGAAATCACTAAATGTATGATGAAAATGCAACATCGTGAACGTATTGAATATGTGATTAATGCCGAATGTAAAAAACTATTAGAATGTTGGCAAACTGCAGAATTTCGTTGTACAGCTATGGAGTTCATTTTAAATGAAATGGATGATTTTGTGTAAATATACTGTCTTGTTCTACTTTTCCGTATTCAATTATCTCATATATAACGCGATAAATTGTTATTGTTACTAAAACAATTATTGTCATCGTCATAACTTATTATTCTATGTTAATATAACGTTCTATACAATAAAGTTTATGCAACCATACACACTAGTGTTATTACCGTGTATGACATTCCATATTCTTTCTTTTATATATAATCATACATAACATGTATCAGTTTTATATAATCATTATTATAATAGAACCATATCTGTATATTTTTGTTTGGTCTTTCACATTTTCTGCTTTTACGTTCTACTTCGTTTTCGAAACAGTAGTTCGCTTTTAAAACTATCATCCTGTTCACCCATACTTCCTGTTTATCTTGCCATTCTATCCCTTTTAAATCATTGATGATTTTAATGATTGTAAAATTTACATTTCTCTTCGTGTATGTGTCTGGACGTGTACATATTTGTGTACTTTATCTTCCACTAATGTCGTTGAAATGCATGTTCATATATATATAGTGCCTAGTCTATTACTAATAATTTTTATCTTCTCTCCGGTAGCTACTGTCATAGTTGACAGTTGTATCATTTCCGTCTGGCTATTTTTCTTCACCGATCTATCTTATTTCATTTCTGAATGTCAACCTGTACTCATTATTACTATTATTAAAATTGTTGTTACCCTTTTAATCAATCAATGTTCTACAATCTCTACACCTTTTTGACAATCCATTCGTTATTTAATGTTAAACACAAAGAAGCAGCTCATGTTTTTTTTTCGTATCTGTGTATATTTTGTTTATTTGCATGTGATACGAGAAAAATATACTGTAGTTTACTTCCTTCCATTATTCCTTTTTTTGTAAAAGAAAACTGTATTTTTTAAAAGAGAAGTGTTCATCCAGTTTGTCATAACTTTCCGTTCCAATTCTGAATTTTCAGGATTTCAGTGGGTTTTTTTTACATTGTAGAATAATAGGTTAGTTGGATGGGTAAAATCAATTTTCTGGCATTTTATCGGTTATCATAGTTGTTACTGTTGGTCTTAACGAGGACTTTCCTGTAAAAAAAATAAATTTCTACCGTACCTGTAAAGGGTTGTTTTTTATCGTTGTTTCTCTTCATTTATCGTGATTGATTTATCCAAACAAATAAACTGCTAATCGTCATAGTGATGTAGATCAATGATTAATAATACCTTGGCAATTATAGGAATACTTCTTTAAGATTGTATTTAATGTATGTTGATTTCAATGTGAATGGAATAATTTTATACTGAAGCTCCTGATGGGATTTTAATGGGTAACCAAACCGATGATTACTAACTTATGCCTTCTACCCCTCTTGGGACATAAGTAACTAACCAGGAATCTCCAAGCAACTCTATTCTGGACTCTCCTCCCATGTTGTTTTCGAGAGGTATTTACGGTCTTTTTATCTGCCTCCAAATTCCACCTTCATGTTTCCTTTGATTTGCCTCTTTTCAACCTTAAGGACGACTACGTTATCCATATCATCCAGCAACACTTAAGGTGTCTACTGTATTGCGCGCTTCTCTTAAGCTATGGAAGTCTTCATAATCTAATCAAAAACCTGAAGAAAGAGGAGAGGCGGAAGTGGGAAGTGTTGTCTGACATCAGTCTTCACTTGGAATTCATCTGTGAGGTGCCTCCATACATGACTTTGTAATAAAGTCCGTCATAGGAGCTCCGTATGATGGTGATGATGTTCTCGGGCACTCTATAGTTTCAAGTAAGATTCCACAAGTCTTTCCAGTTTGAACTGTCGCATACTATTTCACAATTATGGTAGTTGTTGTATGGCGATAAATTTCATTTGGCTGATTGCTCAGCAACGATGTCCTGTGTCGCAATTCGGTCGGTGCATGATATGTCCTCACGAAATCCGATTTGTTGATTTGAGAGTATGGTGTCTACTGAAACTTTCGTTTGGTCCAGTAACACTGTTGATAACTTTGCCTGAAACTGACAGTAGTATGATGTCACTTACTAAGATCTCCTTTCTTCAATGTTTTGATAGGGTATCCCTCTTGAACTTGTCCTCCCGTTCGGAGCTTCCTGAAGAGAATATGTTGCAGTTGCCTCTATACCTGACTTCAGTGCTTCCACCGCTATGCTTTCTGGTCCCTCTACTTTGGCATTCTTGATTTGTCTGATGACAGTGATGTTTTTTATTTCTGGTACAGTAACATTTGTAGGGAGGCCTTTGTGTTATCGGTTGAACGGGACTGATCTATTCAGGAACTCTTCAAAGTGCTCTACTAGTCTGATCTGCTTCTCTCTAACCTCAGTGACTGATTTTTCTTGTTTGTTCCTGACTGGTTGCTCTGGTCTACTACAATTCCTCACTAGCTTCTTGATCGTATCATTTGGTTGCTTGACATGTCCCTTCCTTCCAGTTTGTTTTATTGTATTCGCTAGGTCTTTTACATATTTCAACTTGGTGTTTTTCTTCACTCGCATGTTCGCTTTTGTGCCTTGGCTTTCTCCAGTCATGTTCGATTGTTGCCTTCTTGACCTACATTTCCTTAATCTTCTCCAAAATTTGTGCAGAGATCCGTTGTTTATCCTGGTGCTACAAGTAGCTACAAGTACGGAGTTTAATGGATTGTTTCTCTATTGGATTTTTTCTTTCTAGTTTGCACTGTGAACCCTACACTCAAGTATCTTTCAACCAGGCTTTGAGCCGACAGTAGCTCTTGAAGGACTTCAAGTGGAATTAATCTGATGATAGCTACGATCCACCTTCGTAAACTTGATAATTAAGTGTTTTGGGGCGAAGTTTTTCTACACAAATGACCAATTTATTGATAAATTTTTTAGTGGTAAACTATGATTTATAGAATCGATTATGTCAGGACTGAGACATTCATTAATGATGATATATGATCTAGTGGATTCCACCTCAGTAAGGTTTTCATCATGAAACTCGAACGTTTTAGGCTAGATCTGGTGTAAGTGGTCATTTCTAAGTAACCTCAAACGGTCGAGAATAATTTATGGACGACTCAATCAGAAGCGTTTGAGGGATTTCAAAGTCACGGCGCCAATTTCAGTACCTGATGCTCACGTACGATCGGTTCACGGCGGATTTTAGAGAAGACATTATAATTGAGCGTCTACAACAAATGGGACTACTAAGAAGTTCCTTTGTTTGTGATTGTAGATCTTGTGCAGACTGCAGTGATGATGTTGTCTTTCGATTTAATATATGTTGGAGGAATAAGTCTGCCAGAAGACGAACTTTTTCGCTCGATCCAGATTGAGGCTAAGGTAAATTATGATAATTGTTACAAAGTAGATAATAAAAGCACCAGTAACACTGGCTGCAACATTTTCAGATGTTACTGAAGCTTCGGCTGTTCAGTGGTATGAGTATTGTAGAGTTATATACGCAGTGAAAATGACAAGCTTACATGATTCGTCTGGGGGAGTCGTGAGAATCGTTGAAATAAACGAAACAGTTGTCAGAAAAGGAAAACTCAACAGAGGACATAGTGTTAAAGAAGACTGGGTAAGGAGCACTCCCATAAATATACCTCACAGGTCCTTGGAATACACGATAGGTCATCTCAAAAGGGACACTTCTAGCGGGTTAGAAACCGACAGGATACAACGATAATACCAATTATACGGGAATATGTGCAGCCGGGTACTACAATATATACGGGTGATCGGAGAGCGTACCGCTACCTTCATAGAATTGGAAATGTGCATCGTGTTGTTGTCCACAAGCGTCAGAATGTTCTTGTTTAGTCTCTTCTCCATTCTTGTGTACTAAAGATTTTTAATAGTGTGTTAGTTATGAGATATATAATTTAGATATATTCGGAAATAATATAACAATAATTTTGAAGTGGATATGTTTATGTGCTTCTGGTGATTTATCAATCAAGTTTGAGTTTTGTACGTTTATCCGTACCAATTTTTCGAGCTGCTCTATAACAGAAAAGAATTTACTAACTCCGACAAGAAAATTTCATAGCTTGGCAAACTCCTAAAGAGTTACACCAAAAGCGTTTATATGGCTAATGAAGTCAGACCAGAAATTCCATTCACATGATGAATCGAATATCCATTAACTGAAAAGTTTTGGCATATTCGCTTGTGATAACGACTTATCATAAGAATATACCTAATTACCTATAACTTTCTGACCAATTAAATGTTTGAAAGAAATTGTTAGTTAACTGGGCCATAACAACTATATACTGTATATTGGGCCTCTGACGGTTGCCACTTTTCACTAATAAGTTACATTTAACACAAGTATATAAGTAGAGTTAGTTAATATTAATAGTTATAAATGGAAATCACGAACCGATCTAAGTTAGACAACCATTGGAAGCCCACACTTAATAATTTATTTGATTATGACAAGGTAGATTGTGACAGTGAGATCGACAAAATAATTTCTATACTAAATTTTGGAGAGAGATTAGGATCCACCTCTGATGTACAATATCAAATGAAATGTATTCAGTGAAAATTGACGACATAAATTTGAACGAATGTAGGAGTTTTGTTTACTCCACATCTTATAAGACTTAATATACTTCATTGTTTGTTATTATTCTTTTTTTTTCTAACTATATTATTTACGTTTGACATTCGCTACTTTGGATAGTATTATTTCATTTTCATTTTCCTCCATCTGGTTGTTATGGAGCTTGAATACACATTTGCAGAAAGTTTACTTGAGTTACAACTTCTACGCTGTTAACGGTTGACGTATAAAAGTAGTATAAATATATGACTGAGACATCTTGACTTGTTAAATAAAAGTGTTGTACATTCACCTGTTTATAAAAAATGACTAATTTTTAATCAATAATACGTCATTAAATTTTAGGTAGTGAAACAGCGATTCATCAATTTCTTTCTAAAGGTTGTTGTATAGACCAATTGAAGATAAACAAATTTCGTAGTAACTTTTATTGATCTACTTATCTTGGAAACATATAAGTGTTTGCTGACAGACAATAGTTTAACGAAATTAAAGTTATCTCTACATAGAAAAACTAGGTAGCAAATCGTTACGAAGTTTACGAAAACAAGTCACTGTGTAGTGAACTGAACATCAGCAGGGACAACCGAATATATTTAACACTAAATTACAGGAATTGTTAATAAAATCTAACAATCAAATAGTAAATACATAATTTGCAAAATATCCACCGATTGTCTCATAATGACTCAGACTTCATTGTTCTTGCATTTTCATACAAATTGCATTCTGTTTCCATTCTTTACTATTCGATCCTCCTGTCTCTCTGCTGCCAGACATTCTGTTCACGACTAACATCATCTACTACTTATGTCAATATAAGTCGCATACACCACAGTATGAATGTTTAACAGGTCATTTAGTTAACTACATATGAAAAGTTCATGTTTTACAACTATGATTAGTGAATAAATGTATGCACTTGGGATAAATTTTGGGGTCTAATTCTTATGTTTGTCTATCAGAATCAGCGAGCGCTAATCACAGTATTGGACTAGTTTCAAACATCTCTTTATAAATCTGTTAACGCTGAGAACAAGGTAATGTGAAACCAATAGTCAACAGTTGATCAACTACCAAAAACAAAGGAGTACGTCTAATTGTGAATATACATTAATTATAACAAATTGATATTACACAGTCTCAAAGATAAATCTGAATCCAGACAATCGCATATCTGATGTGTCCATTTGACGATCATTTCAGCAATACTTGACATCAGCTCCTAAACATCTGAAATTCAGAAAGTAATTAGTGGTTGTTTTGATTTAGTTTACCATTCAAGATCCATAAACTCCTATAATTTCCAATGAAATTAAATCAAGAATCTTTAAATTTGGCTGCGGGCACTGACTAGGAACATAATGGCTTTCTAGATTGGTTAATTTATGATATAGTTTGAGTGTCATATACAATGGATCAATTGGACTCCGATCAAATGTTAGATACATGTGACTATCCGAGATATCACTTCTCTTTTTAAGAAGTCATTCACAATCCATTTGTAGAAAAGTACGGCCTAAACTTCAAAGATATATAAAAAGTTATTTCTGGGTTTGTTTGGGCGATA